AAATTTCTAAGTTATTAGCTTCTTCCACACCTTTTGTCCAAATTTATAAACTCGAACTTCATTGTGGATCTAGCTTTATACTTAGATTATTTTCATGACACTACTCTACCCACCTAAAGTGAACACTTAGTCACTTTAAGTCTTAGAGTCTTTCATGTCTAATACTCGATTCAACGTGATCAAAATTCATCGCTCGAGTTACTCGTGAACATCTTAGTTTGTTCACTAAAATGCAACATTGGGACGAGTACTACCCGACAAGTACCTCAAGCCTCCAATTATTCAGCATACTTTTGTTATGAGAAACTAATTATTCTCAAATTCTTAGCTAAGTGTAGAGTCAATTTTAAATTCACTTTAGCTTGAGGTTTTATCGAACTCATTGAACGTCTTCAACATACATTTGACATGATGAGATTGTGTCAAACAATTACTTCCGATCTCTTAGAAACTTAATCTCCAAAATCACATCGGAATTTCACAAACTTTATATGTCAAAGTTTATCTTCTTGGTATTCATGAACACATCATGATTATATTCCATGATCCTCATACTGTCTACATAAGATTTACGATCACAAACTAATCTAAATTCGGTCTTACTTAATTAATGATCCGAAAACTAGATTTTTATGGATGTCTTGAGCATGAAGAACATCCACGATATTCAATATTAATTCTTAGCACACTACCTTTTCGGTTCCTCCAACACTTGAAGTCGAGGAATTCCACAAATACTTCCTTCTGTTGTTAGGGTTGTAGGACAACATTTATAAGCGCCTGTGGGTCAATTGGCTCTTGTTCTTATCCACTCTAAACGTGGAATTTTAATCAAGTATGTACTCGAACTACGACAAAAAGATCGAGCTCTGACAAGTATTATCTTGTCCTCGACAACTCGCACTATCCTTTATCCCTATTCAGAAGTTAGTAACCTTCGACAATATACCCGTTTGTCACCATCGTAAAAACATCCCTTAAACTTCTTGGCGTTCCATTTCTGTTTGCCATGAAAAGAGTTTTTACGCTTCTTACACGAGCTTGACTCGGTCAAGTTTGCCATAGCCTCTAGCTCGCTCTATTTTGTATGCTATTTCCAAAGAGTTCCACAACTCCTTAGACATCTTAATCGGGCTATACACATTATACAGTGTGTTGTCTAGTCCGTTAAGTATTAGATTTCTACAAAGGAATCACTATGATGCCAAGCATCTAAGACCATACATTTTTTTTTACGTTAGTCTCACTTTCGGTGACGATCAAAGAATCCTCCAAAAGCAAACAAGAAAGGGAGAGAATTGTGAGGTAGTAAAACATCCTTTCTGATACCTCTTGAAAACAAAGCCATTGAACTTCGGCAATCTCTCGCCTTGGACGGGAGCAACTACCATCGGGATGAAAGGATTGGTAGCCGATGTAGCGGTCGGTTGAGCACTTGAAGAAGACGTTTGGTTTCCTTCGGTTGTAATCTTATGAACTCACAAAATTTCGTCTTAAGGTTGTAGTTTGCGTGGCTTGTGAATATAAAAAAGAAGGCTAAAGGAGAATGAGAAAAACAAAACAAAAATCAAAGTCGAGGCACATAATAATTACGTTCTCCATAAGACGAAATTGCCCCGTAAAATACGCACGGTTAACGGCAAAAGCCTCCAAGATACAACGACTTTCGACTTGTATATAACGGTACTTCAAATATACAAGCCTTCGGCGAACACTACTATTGTTTGGAACTCTCAAGACTCAATGAAAAAATCAAAGAACACAATATGTTATATGATCTTTGAAAAGTAATGCAAGAGTTCTTTATATTGTAAATGGTTTCATGTATGTGGGTATTTATAGATATAGGGAAACACCTCCAAGAGGTTTAAGTGTCAAAAGACACCTTTTGGGATGTGTCTGAATGAGAATGGATGCATCTAGTGGCCAAAAGATACCTTATGGTCACTAAGGGCTATGATCCTTTGATTTCTGCAGCCAGTTGCGCTCCCGTGCGCCGCAGGCTCGCACGAGCTTATACGGCTTCAGAATCGAGTTCCCTTTTTTTCTACTTGTATCTAACGAGCCCTTTTACAATTCTAGCATACATAATGCATAATTAGAGATCGTTTAGTTTGTTCAAACATTTGTTATAACAGAATGTTTGTGAACCCTACAACCTTTGAGTAATTTAAACTCAATTAATTAACATATAACACTTTGAATTAATTACTCATTCACCTTAAAAAATATTTTGAGAATTTTCTAAGTCTTCCACTTACGATAAATGAAATCGTTAAATTGGTACAAAACCAATTTTTTTCTTACAATTAGAAGAAGAAAATATATAATTTTAATGTCTCGTTTTTTATTTTTTTTTTTAAAACCTCCGGTATAAATTTTTCTTATAGTCTAACTGCTTTGGTTTTTTTTTTAAAAAAAAGTCAAATAACTTATAATGAAAATAGGAACAAACTTTGAATTATATTGATATTAGAGTGGGGTTGTTTACATTTTGTAAGCATATCCAATCTCGTCAATGGTATTTTTGTCTATCAAATACAAACCCTGAAGGGTCCTTCGCAGGGGCGGATCTACATATGGTCCAGCCTAGGCAATTGCCTAGGCTGGATATTTTGTGCTAACTATACAATTCATATAGTTAATATGTGTTAATTAAGAATTTATATGTAATATTTATGAATATACAAATACAAGTTTTTATTTTAAATTTTTAAACAATTCTTACCAAATAACATTATTATTTTAATCTAAAATGATACACCTCACTTGTCAGATATGGCAGTATGATATTACAATATTTTTAGTACTTAGACCTATATATAATAAGCTTGATAGATAAATTTATTATTTTTTAATTATAATTGATAAATATTAATTTTTTATTGATAGAAATCAGATAGACATAACTATTTTAATTTATATATACAATATGAATGTCAATTTATAAATTGTCAAAATATGACTAATTTAATTATCATATATAAAAAATGATAACATATATGAGTGTTATTAACTTTTAAAGTATATTCAAGTGTTTAAATTTGAAAGTTATGGATAAAGATCAATATTTATATGGAAAATTTCGAATCCTAAGATATTAACATATAGAATTACAAAGCGGTAGAAGTTGACAGTGGAAAAACTCTATATCTATATATAAGAAGAGAATGCATAAGGAGCTCTTTATAAAATAACATGAACAAAAATGATGACATTTAATCCTTTCTGAAATTAATGAATTATATCTCAAAATGACTTGTTAATAACTTACTACAAAAATAAAAGGAAAAAAATTGTAAGATATTTTTGATATATTTCTTAATAATAATAGAAAGGAAAAATAAAATAACCAGACATCATTCTCAAATTCATTTTTTAGCATCAAGTCAAAAGCAAATTGAATAGGAAATCCCTCCACTCCCGATCGCTCAAACGATTTTTTTAATTATTAATATAAGTACTTTGTCCATTATGGTTAAAACAATTTATATAACTTTTGCCCTGGCTCATTAAAATTTCTGGATCCGCCGCTGGTCCTTCGGCTGGTTGTTTTGCTATTGGTGTAATTACCAGATTTCTAAAGGAGGCATACGATACGTATTCTACACGGCAATTTCAACACTCTCAAACAAAACATTTAAATAAAACTTTACAAATTAACTCGTCTTTATTTCCCATTTTCAACGCTTCTTTTTTTCTTTTTAAGTGTTTTTATTATTTGATGTATCGTAATGCATAATTTTGAGAAAATATAACCCACTAAACTTATAATATAATTTTAAAAAGATATCAACTTTTTTAATTTTATTTTTTTTATGCACATTAATAAACGACTTATAAAATGTGTACAAATAAATACTAACAAACTATAATATAATCAACGACTTAGATTAAAAATTGAAAATTATCTTCAAATTTAGTTAGTATTTTAGTAAATTCAACATACATGTTTAGTAAATAAAATAATCTTTATATAGATATTATTATATTTATTTAGAATTTGTCTTTTTAATGGCTCATCATCACACGTATAAAAGTTTTTGCAATTGAAATGCTCTTTGACTCTATCAATCAATCAAATCAATAAATAAAACCGCAAGCATAGGACTGACACTACGGCTCCAAACCCTCGGTCACAAAATGGCCGCCGCCTCGTCGTCATCTGCCGCCATGCTCAGCTCCGCTGCGGAGGGCTGCTCTCGCAGAGCCTCGCTCGTCGCCAACCTCCGCGTGCATCCCACGCGCAGCTATTCCGCATTTCTGAGAACTAGTTGTGCTGTCGGTGCTCACGCTCGTGCCTCCGGTTCTCTGTGTTCTTCATCTTCCGTTAATGGTGACAACATGATTCATTATCCAATTTGCTCGAAATTTCTGCGTTAATTTTGTGTCTGATTGAATTGGTTTTTACTCTTCTGAATGTGCTATGCTCATCATCCATGTATCTGTTGTGTATTGCACCATGTATTGTGAAAATTGATTAACCTATCTGTAATTTGTTAAGGAGGCTCTGTGCTTGAAATTTTGCAAATATAGACGTGTGATAAATTTTGTCCATTGCAAATTGCAAATGGAGCTGGAAGAGTCATTGTTGACAATTCTCGTGGCATAGTGCTACGGAAACAGTCTCTTTGTATAATTACAAGGGTAAAGTCTGCGTACAACTGACCCCCTAGACCCCAACCTGTTGGGAATATATACTGAGTATGTTGTTGTTGTACAGATGTGTGATAAATCCAAAAGAGCCAGATTTTGGTGATGTTAGCTAAGTGACATTTAGTAGATGGAAATATTTTTGATCGCGGTTAGTGTGTTGAGCGTCTGTTCCTATTGTGTTGAGAATATGACTTACAGGCTTTCAGTTTATTGTGTGCTGGATGAGCAGAATTCAGTGTGTGTTAGCAACGTTGGCTTTATTTTCTAAGAAGTTATGATTTCAAATACAACCTCATCAGAATTTTATGATTTCAACTACAACCTCATCGGTTTCGGAATATTGCTAGTTGTGTAAATTTTATAGTTGGTAAGTACGGAGAGCTAAACCAACTTGATTTTTCTGAGCGTGTGGGGTCGAAGATGATTCAAAACTTGCATGCCTTTTTTATATTTTGGTATGTGTGTTTGATTGTGTGTGTGTTTCCTCTTCCTTTGCTAAAATAAAATTCTTTATTATATATATATATATATATATATATATTATATATACATGTCGACATTTCTTTTAGAGTATTGATTATATTGTTTCTCTAATTCCCTTGATGTATCTATTTCAGCAGCAATGGCCATCGAGGCTTCTGCAAAGGTTATCGACGGAAAATCAGTTGCCAAGAAAATAAGGGAGGAAATAGCTACCGAAATATCAAGAATGAAGGAGTGTACTGGGTTTGTTCCTGGCCTGGCTGTTATTCTTGTTGGAGAAAGGAAAGACTCTGCAACTTACGTACGCAACAAGAAGAAAGCTTGCGAATCTGTTGGGATTAAGTCATTCGAAGTGCACTTGCCTGAAGACTGTTCAGAACAAGAAGTGCTCGAGTATATCACAGGCTTCAATGGAGATCCTTCAGTTAATGGTATCCTTGTGCAGTTGCCTCTTCCTTCTGTAAGCCTCCAAATCCATTTATTATGTTTCCTTGTGAACCCTATGCGCTGCCAGAATGAATGTAATAGAACCCTCTTACTTCTCTTCTTTGATGCTTGTAGGCAAAAGAAAAGGAGAAATTATATGCATGTTACCCCAAAGAATGCATGATTAGTGTACTGAGGATCTAAAATAAAATAAACATAAATAATAAATGGATTTTTAAGCAAGGGTGAAAATCTATATGATAATCAAGGCATATTCTCAGTAGAAATGTATAAGATGCTAATGATTCGAAAGGAGCTAAGAATTAACCTTGTATTTGTTCGCGAATTTCTTACTTCCCAGTGAAATATTGCAATCTAATGGTTTATGTGTTTTTCTTTCTTTTTTTCCCCAGCATATGAATGAGCAGAACATTTTAAATGCTGTTTGTATCGAGAAAGATGTCGATGGATTCAACCCTCTGAATATTGGTCGTCTGGCCATGAGAGATAGAGAACCACTATTTGTTCCATGCACGCCCAAAGGATGCATAGAGTTATTGCACAGATATAATGTCCCTATCAAGGGAAAAAGAGCTGTTGTTATCGGGAGGAGCAATATTGTCGGAATGCCTGCTGCCCTGCTCTTGCAAGTATGCCTTTGTTGAATTAAAATAAAAATTCAAAAACTTTAATAATGAACATTTTTTTCTCAAATGACTAAAATATTATTATTAAATAAATAAAATGACTTTTAATCTGAATGCACTGTGACCTTAATGCTAGAAATTTCTTGCTTATTCTGGCAGAAGGAGGATGCAACTGTTAGTATTGTCCATTCAAGAACAAAAAATCCAGAGGAGATCACTAGAGAAGCCGATATTGTGATCTCTGCTGTGGGCCAGCCGAATATGGTGAGAGGCAGTTGGATCAAGCCTGGCTCTTTCGTCATTGATGTTGGAATTAATCCAATTGAGGTGCGGACACAAATTATCCTTTTTTTAACGTGTAACAATCCCTCAATACTCATACGTATACACAGGTCAACTCGGTGGAGGTGTTTCATTTTTTTTCTCTTAACTCCAGTTCAGAACCGTGAGAGCAAACCAAACCAAAATTAAGTGAAATATTCAACTTGACATTTCAAAGTTCTGATCCTTGACCTTGAGGTTATAATTATGTTTAAATCTTTTACCCACAGAAATTGCTGCTCTCATAATGTATTTTCAAAATCTCATATCATCAGCCCTCAAACCTTTCGGACATTACAAACAACCCCAACTTTAGCTCTACATCATTTTAAATTAAAAACATTACAGATAGCCAGGCAATAAGTCGGGGCTACTTAAATTCATTTTAAAACTTGACGGGACATCGACATTTCTATTTCTATCTGACTTTTTTATAATTATACCGTCACTGGATTTTTGCAGGATGCATCAAACCCCAGAGGATATCGTCTTGTAGGGGATGTTTGTTACGAGGAGGCTAGCAAGATTGCTTCGGCCATCACACCTGTGCCTGGTGGTGTGGGCCCCATGACCATTGCAATGCTACTCTCCAACACTCTTGCCGCCACAAAACGAGCCAACAATTTCTATTAACATGTCTCCTCGTGATTCGGATAATAACTGAAGGCCAAATGATCCAAACCAAATCTGCTTTTCCCTCGAACGTGGCCACGGACTGTTTGTAGGATTTTAAGAGTATCATCTTTAGGATCTTGTCTAGTTGAATCCATTTAACAAAGATGAATGTAATGAAGGTACGTAGCAAGTGCATTTAGAATTGGAGATCGAAAACTCATGTATTTCTTTCCTTTTGTGGCCATATTAAAATGTAGTTTGTTTGATGTCAATGTTTCGACTCGGATCAGGTAATTACACCCTTCTGTATGAATAGCTTATAGGATGCAAAGTTTGGCAAGAATGCATTGGTTTTGTTTGTTATTTTTGAAAGCTTTATGGTCCAAAATGTGATGCAGATGATACATTATAGTGTACAAGTTGTAAGACTCCATTGATATATAAATATTGGCAGAAAAGCAGAGGATAAAATAAATGAGCTGTAATTGAAAAGGTGATAACTCTGTATATATCAAACAAAGACTGATATGATCTTCAAATGGTATTTCTACAATAAATTCATAATAATCTATCTTGTATCAAAGAACTATAAATTCATAATAAACAGATCACATAGAAGCTGTTAATTGGCCAAGGGCAAAAAGATGGTCTCTTTGTCAGGAACTCATGATGAAGATTTCAAGCATCAAGATTAATAAGCGCGGCAAACTGCTCGACTCCGTTTTGATTCTGTGGTTTCTTACTCCGTAGAATAGACACCTGTAAACAATTTTTTTTTAGAAATATCAATTTCACGCGCAACAGGATTTCGAAATGCGTGCCCTAAAATGTAACAATATGCGATTTTGATTATGTGATCGCATATTGCTAAACCGTGTTATACCTTTGGTCTCTTCATAGAGCTTCCAAAATAACCTACTCCAAAAGATGGTGAAGTATATGCAGCAGCAATTTCAACAGCTTTCAGCTTTGCACGAGCATCGGGACCCTGATGTGCAACCGACTAATAAGAGCAATAAAGTTGATACAAAAAAATACAGCAAATTTAATTTAATGTGTAATCTCACCACATAACAAGTATCAGCTTGCACAAGTAAAACTCCAGCACTTTTTTCACTGCCACGTTTATCATTTTCAAGAAGGGGCTTCACAACTTTGACACAGCCACTGATTGGCCCAGCCTGGGACCTGCAATAGCCACAACTCATCAATGGGGCTTGAGTCTCGACTTTGAATTTAACACAACAGTCTAAACGGACTGTTTGAAAATAGAAATTTTTTTAAAAAAGGGATAAAAAAAGAGGCATATACAATGAGGCTGATACACAACATTCTCTAGCAGCAAAAGCTTTCATCAGGTACTCTCCGGCACCACTCACACAACAACCGACGATAGAAGAAGCTCCAAAAGGGCCTTTTGAAGATGCCCAGCAACCAGAACCGTACATTCCTGCTAAGCCCACACGACCACTGACCTGCCCGAACATGATGGTAAATCCGAGTAACAATTTGATTGTGAGTTGACTTACAGTAGGAAGAAAGGAACCAATTATGGTTCACAAACAAGAATTACATTTTCCTCAAAAGACAAACCCATGGATAAATCGTAAAACATTGAGTTGATAAAACAGTTCGGTAAAAATGTATTTTTATTGCTGTTGGTTTAACGTCAAGCAATTTTAGTCCGAAGATTCCAACTTTTCGCATTTTGGTAATTCAATTTCAGGACTGAACAAATTTCCAAATCCCCAAATCTTCGATTAGCAATTTAAGTCAAGTAATTTAAAAATTTATTGCACTTTCAGTTGTGATTGCAACAAAATTACATCACATGGCCAAAAAGTGAAATGTTAGAACCTTGGGACTAAAATTGCTATGACATCAAACTGGCAGGGCAAAAATGCAATTTTGCCAAACAGGGTCACCTTAAGAGCAATACCACCACTTGAGGCACCAGATGCTATATGACCCTCAGAATCCACACAAATTACTCCTACTGTGTCTGCTACGGCATCTTCATCAAGTTTTTGCAGAGGATAAGGTTTGATGAATTGTTCCTTTGCGTTGGAAAGGTAAGCTTCTGCTTGGTGTAACAAGGACTAAAATTAATTACGAACAAGAAACATATTGCAAGAAATGAAGAAACTTAAGAGATGATAGTGACAAGAGAATATGGTAGGTCATGGGTTCAATATTCAAAATCACACAATGATACAATGGTTATGTTTGATAAACTTAGTTGATAAGCTAGCTTATAGCTTCTAAATGAATTTTATGCTTATAGCTCATAGCTTATGACTTATGGTTGAAAAGCTAGCTTATATGATAAAAGTGTTTGGTAAAATTAGCTGATAAACTAGCTAAAATAAAAATTTCAATATGCTTATTTGAAAAAAACTACCCAAGGAAGCTTATGAGATAAGCTCGAGCTTTTTAAAAAAACTTGTCCTACCAAACCAAATAACTGAATAAGCTTATTTGAATATAGGAAGCTTATATGTTTATCAAACACAACCAAAGACTAATACTATTTTTCTATGGATCATGACCCCCCAATGAACAGACAGTGGCTTGTCAAAGGCCTAAGAGTTTTTCACTTCCACTACACAAAGTCTTACTGTAAAGAGGAATACAATTTCTAAGAAGCTTGTAAGATTAAAGGCGTGAAGTACTGATTAAGAACCAGTGATGCTACCCGATGTAGCTGCATTGCTAATGGCTTTGGCATGATCAAGCATTGTTCTATATCTATTCCACCGATCTCGAGCTCTTTCAGTCACCAACCACTGCAAAAATGAATTGCATAAATTACGATAAGTTGAGGTGGTAACAAAGCAAGCATCTCTTGTCTTTAAACAAATAGGAGATTTTTGACAGCGGAAAATAAAAAACATAAATAAACTACCTCATTAGCCTCTTCTACAGTGTCATCTGAAGCAATACCTCTGGACTTTGCCCAAATACGGGCTCCCTCGCCGACTAAAAACCTAAAGCATCACAGATTGTGCTAAAATAAGACACATAAAAAATACGACGCTGCTCCATATATTATACAACAAAAACATCTAAAACATACATAGGGCTGATTCGGCCCAAAAGCGATGAACCCAAAATCTGTTCTTTTGCTAGCAGAAGAGCAACCTGTATGGGATTTCTAACACCTGGCAACCATTAAACTTCACAAAAATTCAAATAACAAACAGAAAACAGAAGCTGGAAACACAGTCCGCAACATAGTCAATGATAAAAGACCAACATCTTCAGCGAAATTCATTTGATATTCACAAATCGAGTACCTTGCACTGCACCAACAGCACCAAAAACTCCAGAGTCACCATCCATTAAACTGGCATCACATTCTACCTGACCGTCCTCAGATAAATTCGAGCCTCGTCCAGCATTTATGCAAGGATCATCCTACATGAAAACACATAATCCCCCCTAATGATCAAAATTTGACCAAAAAAGGTCCACATTTTGAAAATAACACCACACAGAAAGCTCGAAAGGGGTCTACAATGTGGATGAAACTTTTGCTGCTAGCAATCCTTAAAGCCGAGGGTCGACTTTGAATAAAATCAACGAAAACCAATAGCTCGAAAACTGAAAGGCTCTTGAACTTTACCTCCAAAATTTGAATTGCGGCCGCAACAGCATCCATACATCCACCGCCGCCCTAAATCAGACCAGAAAAATACAGCAACTCGTGAACCGTAACAGCTAAAATTCAGACCCAAGTGAATTCAATCACCAAGTCAAAATCTTTCAACTTCGTACAGTGATGTATCACTAACATAAATCGATTTTTTAGCACATTAGACGGTAACGGAACATCACTGTTTGATTTATTAAAATCCGTTTGTACAATCAAACATGGAATAGCAAGAGATGGTGAAAACGAATGAGAAAATGACCTCGCGGAGAACGGAAGCCGCCGCGCGGCAGGCGCGTTTCATGGCTGAGCGAAGTGCTTCCTCATCCGACGGCGCGTGGTATCCCGCGCCGACGTGTACGGCGACGAAGAATCTAGGGTTCCGATCGGCTGGCTCGCAGTCCATCGGAGCTGACCGATTCGAAGACACAATTACACTATGCGTTTGGGCATCTTTCTATTTCCCATTTTTCTTTCAAGTTTTTAGTAAATTGTTTCAGCAAAAATTGCAAATCTTTTGGTGTGTTTAATTTTCTTTTCTTTTATTTTATTTATCCCCAAAATTAATTCACTTATCATTGTCCAATTTTATACTCTCATAATCTCATTAATTATTTTTTTTTAAGAAGGAGACCGTAGGCCTAAATGTTAAATTAGAACTCGGCGGGGTAAAAAACTCCGATTACATCATGCGAGCTAGGGGGAGGAATAGCCAGCACATGAAAGTCAATCGGACAAGAAGAGGGTAAGCTCGCCAAATGGTCGGCTGCAAAATTTGCCTCCCTATGTGGCTATCACGTGTCGAATGATAATATTCCACCCCCTTTGAATCAATTGACGAATGGCCGTGACTAATGCTTCCTGCGCCCAAAAATATTACAGGTGCCACATATTATCTGTAGCACACAATGACTATCAAACCTCCGCCATAACTTGATGAAAACTTTTAGTCCATGCAAGTTGTAGCCTATGAAAAAGACCCATAGTTCGACTTTAGTGATAGTACATTATCCTATATTCATAAGAAAGTCTACAGTCCATCTATCTATTTCACCTCGAATAAACTCACCAGCACTTAGCCGAGAAGGCTTGTCAAAAGCGCCATCAGTATTTACTTTGATCCACCCTCGATCCGGCGGGACCCCTTATTAACTACTTTAATGGATCATTAATGCAATAAATCATCCAAATATTTTAGAGATTGTATAGTTAGGCTGTATTTAGGGGCACTTGTATAATTACCATACTCATTTAATATTTTTCTACAAATAATATATTAATACTTGTCATAAAAATAAAGCAAGATATTTTTTTTACAAAATATCGTGTTGGATAATAAAGCATAAACATGTCACGATAGTACGATTTACCACTTCTAGTTGTTATTAAAAAAATTAAAAATAAAATACAGAACATTGTGTATTTTCCTATATGTTATGAAATAAAAATTAAAATGTATTTTATTCCCATGAAAATCATGAGATTAGTGAAATGGTTGATTATTTTGTTGGTTATTTTAGTATTCTATAATACTACCTCCTATTTTAAATAGATGTCGTTTTGGGATGTTGCACATCTATTAAGAATATTTTTTTTGTCAATAATAACCTTATTTAATGAAAATAGAGATGAATGTTTTGAGAAAAAGATGAAGAGTGATTATGAAAAGACGTGATGTATTTATTAGCTAAATGAGGGTAATATGGAAAAATATGTACAAAAGATCCAAAACGACATTTATTTAGCAAATCCTCCCTATATATAATTCTCGAATGCGCTGAGCCTACGTGGCTGTTTTTGGTGCTTCGGAATCCTACTTGGCGAAAAATCATGCTTCGTAATTAGCTTTGGACAAATAATATTGATGTATTAATAATTAATAATCTAGGTTTGGACATTCCATAAATATTATTTATCTAACTTAGGTATTTTAATATCACTTGTACTAATATAACCCTTTAATTATTTGTAATTTTACATAGTGAGACAATAAGTGACTAATATATCCCTGACTTTGATTTGTTTCCTTCAATTAACTATTGAATTGTAAATGTATTTTAAAAGTTGATAACTTTTGTGTTTCTTATCGGTTTTACATATATTATATATTAAATTAATCATCTTTTGATGATCTTCGATTTGACATCCATATTGTATATATGAAATAAATAAATTATATTTATCTTTATAATAATAAAAGATAATAATATTTATTAAAATTCACCAGAAACAGCCACGTAGGCTCAGCGCATTCGGAAATTATATATAGGGAGGATTTTTAATGTAGTTATATGTTGTAAATTAAAAAATTATTATAATATAACAAAGGTAAGTCTCACAAATAAAAAGTGTCATGCTAAATATATAATAATATATATATTTTTGTAAAAGGTATTTAACTTTTCAACTACTTTTTCTCATTAATTTTAGATTTTTAAAAAAAATATTAGCAAGCACCCGTGTAATACACGGGTGTTGTACTAGTAGTTGATAAAGTTAGAATGACATTTAAAAAAAATAGGAGAGAGTATAATATTTCTATCATATTGATTTATTTTTCAACAACAACAACATACCCAGTATATTATCAATTGATAGAGTCTGGCAAATTAATTGTACACGAATCTTATCATTATAATTATACTGTTTTCATAGCGACCTAAAGTTCCGTAACGAACCAAAGTTCTGTAATGACCAAAGTGTATCGTTTGATTGCCTTTTAGGGTATGTTTGGTTCAAAGGAGGGGAGGGGAGGGGAGGAAATTTAATGGAAGGGAGGGGAGGGGAGGGGAAGAGAGGGAAAATAATTTATCTTGTTTGGATGGATTTTGTAAGAGGGGAGGTGAAGGAAAATGATTAACCTCATTTGGTTAGAAGATGGAAGGGGAGAGAAAATAATGTTAGAATGACAAATATAACCTTAATGTTGTAAGGAACAAAAAAAAAATAAAATAATTCACAATAAGGTCAAAAGAGTAATTTGTTGTTAAAATTTTCCCTCCCCTCCAAATTCCCTCACTTTTGGAGGGGAGCACATTTTCCCTTGGAGGAGGGAATTGAAGGGAAAATTTAAACCCCTCCCCTTACAAAAAGTTGAACCAAACAAGAGGAAATAAAGTTTTCCCTCCCCTCCCTTCCCCTCTCCTTCGTTTCCCCCGAACCAAACACAGGCTTATGAGTGTAAAAACAAAATAATAAAATAAATAGGGCGGCATAGAAGTGCGTGCCAATTTCTCCTACCTTTCACATCAATCGGCTACATAAATCGCCATTTTCATTTGTATCCAAATTCTCTGCAAAACTTCTCAAGTCTCGGCTTTCATCTTCGATCTCGTGCACCAGCGAAATACCCTTTATCAACCGCCATGAAAGTCCCCGCTTCGAAAGCTCAAGGTGCTCACTTTTTTCCGTTCGAGCTTTCTTTTAATCTCCATACGATTTCTGCAGTTATATATTGATTGAGGTATACTCTTGAGCATTTTGAAACAGAGAATATGCATCGCGAGGCAAAAAGTTCGTATTTTGATTTGCCGGCGTTGGATGTATCCGTCGCATTTCCTCAGGCAACTCCAGCTTCAATCTTTCCCCCAAGTGGTAATTTGATCTTCCTTAAATTTGCTTTTCCTCATTAAAGATCGTGATGCTCATGTTTTTGATTTCTGGGTTTGGTCATTTACTTTGGAAATTAAGCTTTTCTGGTTAGCTAGTGTAGGTTTATTTGATTGTTCTGTAATCATATTTTTGTCTGTGTGTCGCCTAATGAATGAACACTTGAACTTAAACAGTGTCAGATTACTATCAGTTTGATGATCTGTTGACTCCCGAAGAGCAAGCTGTTAGAAAGAAAGTAAGAGAGTGCATGGAGAAGGAAGTTGCTCCGATAATGGCTAAGGTGTTTCTTGTTCAAATTTTGCGTTTTCGTGTTGTTATTGTATAGGTATATAGATCCCTTAAATGTTATTGTTCTTAATTGTTCAAATTTTGCGTTTTCGTGTTGTTATTGTATAGGTATATAGATCCTTTAAATGTTATTGTTCTTGGGTTTAACCAATCGAGGATATGATTGTAATTGTGTCTTCTCAGTATTGGGAGAGGGCAGAATTTCCTTTCGAAGTGGTCCCGAAGCTTGGCGCACTGCGAATTGCTGGTGGCAGTATCAAGGTTACATCGTTTTAAAAATTCATAATTTTAATAATTTATGTACTTTTCATGTAAGAATTTGTGAAAATCGAGAACTATGTGCAGTGTCTAATTGAATAAGAATATGCAGGGGTATGGTTGCCCTAATCTCTCCATTACTGCAAATGCTGTTGCAGCAGCCGAGGTTGCAAGAGTTGATGCCAGCTGCTCGACTTTCATTTTGGTGCACTCTTCCTTGGCTATGCTTACAATTGGTAAAATCTTGCTACTGTTACTTTATCCATAGTCTTTTAATAACCCCGAAACTTTGCTTACAAACATGGTGATTGCAACTAGTGTTGTTAAATTAAACGAATTCGGCTCGGCTCGGCTCGGCTTGTTAAGGCTCGAGTTGGGCTCGAGCTCGAGCTCATTTAAAGCTCGTTTGGTTAACGAGTCGAGCTCGGCTTGGCTCGTTAAGGCTCGAAAAGAGAATTTTTTATGATTTTGTATTGTATGGCTCGTTAAAGCTCGAGGTCGGCTCGATAATGCTCGAACTCAGCTCGTTAATAGTGATAAACGAGCCGAGCTCGAGTCATTTCTGGCTCGTTTATTTAACAAGCTGAGCTCAGCTCGGTTCGTTTACAGGCCTAATTGCAACTATTTGTAATTTCTTGTTTTGTCAAGGATAGCACTGTGTGGGTCTGAAGCACAAAAGGAGAAATATCTACCATCTCTTGCAGAGCTTAAGACTGTAGCTTGTTGGGTGAGGAAGCTTTTCTATTTAATAATGCAGTTGTCCCCTTGAACATTAGTCAAAATATTGAGTTCTAAAATATATGTGTTGAGAATGGAACCAGGCCTTAACTGAACCAGATTATGGAAGTGACGCAAGTGCTTTGAAAACAACAGCAAGAAAGGTGAGGATTATGAATAAAATTGCCCCATTGCAGTAAAGCATGTGTATTTGCTTGGTTTTTTTCTCTATCAGAGTCTGTTTGTTAATCGATCTCCAATAATCAGGTTGAGGGTGGCTGGATACTTGATGGCCAAAAGCGGTGGATAGGGAACAGCACATTTGCAGATGTGTTAGTTATTTTTGCTCGAAATTTGTCAACAAATCAGATAAATGGGTAGGTCAAAGTAATAATACCTTTTACTATACTGTTCATGTTGGGTGTCTAATGAATGGAAAAGAAATCCTCATAGGAGTTTCTATAGGTTACTGATTTTGGTTGAGAGTTTTAACCTACTATTTCGTGTTAATCATGTTGTGTTTGGCTGAATTTTTCTATCATGCAGTTTTTGACTTAAGTGCTTTGATCACATCTGCGTGTCCTACAGGTTCATCCTAAAGAAGAACACTCCAGGCTTACAAGCTACTAAAATAGAAAACAAAATTGGTCTGAGAATTGTTCAAAATGGCGATATTCTGATGAAGAACGTATTTGTGCCTGATGAAGACAGGCTTCCAGGAGTTAATTCTTTTCAAGATACAAACAAGGTACTAATATAGGAGTTTAAACTGGTGCAATTTCTGGGAGGCCGCTTAAGGTGTGATTGGATATGGATTTGATTGGTTTTTGATTTTTATTTTTATTTTTTTTTTTACCATAGTTAATTTTGAGAGAAAGGTGATATGATTAGTTGTTAGTGAGAATTTAAATTTAAAGTAATATAATATTTAAAATAAAATAATTAAAGTTGATTTGATGTGAATGTAGGAGGAAAATGATTGGAAGTGATGGTTCGTTAGAATTATGTGAGTGATGAATAGTGAATTAAAGTTGATGTGATGTATAAGAATGATTGGTTGATATTATTTAATTATTCTGATAATATTGAGTATAGTGAGGTTGAGTTAAAATTGAGTTAAATTTTAATTTTGACACGCCCTTAATGTTTTGAATGCCCGGATAGATAGCATACGTCATGTTCATAATTCATTTATTGTGAAACATATTTACTGGATTTTTGTTTGTGTAATCTGCCAATATATGAGTCAAATACTTTAATTTCATATTCGCCAATCTGGTTCAATTAGGTACTTGCTGTTTCGCGCGTCATGGTAGCCTGGCAGCCTATTGGCATTTCAATGGGTGTTTATGATATGTGTCACAGGTACTTCACTAAAAATTTGGTAAATGGAAGTCCTTTTTCCTAGAAATAGTATAGCTTTAGCAATTTATTTTGAGAGACCAGATCAGGTAGTTGTTATATTGGGCTTGCAGCTATATCAACAGTTCTTTTAGCTTGTTTTTGCACTTTATTCAATTGTTGGCTATTATAAATGATGTTAATGTTTCTTGCCGAACTCGTTATCTTATAGCTCACCTGCCTAGATTACGATTCGCTAAATAAAGTAAAGGGTAGCATCTCACAAATTGCAATGAAGAAGCTAGTATTCAATGCAACCCTCCTTCCTTAAGGTCAAATAGATGAGAATATGACATAACAAATTAAAGAATGAGAATACGCAAAAAACCAGCTCCTATTTAGTATGTATCCAACCTATTGCATCTTAGGATTAGAAGCTCTAACTCCAAACTTGTCACAATTATTGTAGTTATTATCATTGAATGCAACTCTCTTTTTCTTTACGTCTAATAAATGAGTGTATATGCAAATATGAGAATACGCAAAAAAAAAAAGAAAAAAAAAAGAAAAACCAACTCCTAGTTAGCATCTATCCAATCTATTGCATCTTAATTAGAAGCTCGAACCCCTAACTTGTGACATATAGTTATAGTTACTATTGTTTACTTTCCTCGGTGGGTTGTGAGATAGTGATGTGACTATAGAGCTTCTAAGGCTGTTTATTCATTGTGCCATGAAGGTATCTAAAGGAGAGAAAGCAATTCGGTACCTCATTAGCAGCTTTCCAACTAAACCAACAAAAGTTGGTTCGTATGTTAGGTAACATTCAAGCAATGCAACTCATCGGTTGGCGTTTGTGCAAGTTGTACGAGAGTGGTAAGATGACTCCTGGTCATGCTAGCTTGGGCAAGGTAAAATAAATATCGAGAATGAAAAATTATCTCTTTTCATTTGTTAATCTTGTGAAAGTAGTTGGAATTCATATTAAGACTATGTTTGGTGACCAAATAAGTTAGCTCATAGCTTATTTGGTTAGCTTATAAGTTTCCTATATTCAAATAAAGCTTCGTTTGGTAGGAACAAAACTCGAGGCTATCTCTTAAGCTTCTTTGGGTAGCATTTCAAATAAGTTCGTTGAAATTTTTATTTCTAGCTAATTTTATCAAACACTTTTATTGTATAAGCTAGCTTTTCAGCTATAAGTCATAAGCTATAAGTTTAAAAATTACTTTTCAGCTATCAACTAGATAGCTAGTTTTACCAAACATAGAAGCTATAAGCGCAAAAATCACTTGTCAGTTACCAGCTACTTTATCTGCTAGCAACTAACTTAGCCTAACTCATGAAAGTGTTCTCATACCTATTCTCAGTCATGGATTACATTGATGGCGAGAGAGACTGTCTCTCTCGGGCGGGAGTTACTCGGTGGAAACGGGATTTTAACCGACTTTCTTGTTGCAAAGGTGAGCTGTCATGCATTTTTCTGCGCCTTTTTTCTTTTTTCCTCTTTTATTTCCTCATTTTATCTTTTCTTGGAAAATAAAAAATAAAAAATAAAAAATCAGGCTTTCTGTGATTTGGAGCCTATATACACGTACGAAGGGACTTACGATATCAACACATTGGTAACCGGTAGGGAAATAACCGGAATTGCTAGTTTTAAACCAGCCGTGTCTAGCAGCCGAAGCCGTTTGTAGAATTACTTCCCGGTTGCGCAAAGATATTGAAATCTACTCAATCCATAACAAGGTTGTTTACTTGTAATAAGGTTATTTTGCTTGTATGTACTCAATAATGTAACTGTTTTTGGATCTTTTTGTATTATGATTCATATGGAATCGTCACGAAAAGGTCACTAAAAGAGCACACACTGGCAAAGTCCAGTCAGTAAAAGTTCATTTGTATGGGAAAATTGTTAATTTTCTAGGGGTGTTTCTAGTTATACTTCATTATAAAATTTCATATATTAAAACACAATGTGAACAAAAATACCACATTTGATGTTTAAGTACGCATTTTCGCTTAGGTAGCATGACAAGTCGATCCGATTCTATCCGTCTAATGCTTAGGCCGTTTCACACAAAAACATGGAACTCGTGTATATACAACTGCTATAAACATAAGTACGCATTTACATTTAATTAGTATGATGAGTCGATCCGTTTCTATCCGTCTTATGCTTAAGCCGTCTCACACAAAAACATGGAACTCGTGTATATATAATTGCTGTAAGTTGACTATCAAGTACCTAACCAAAGTATTGCTATAAGATTACTAGCAAGTGCCTAACCAAAGTACCCTTTACATTAGTTGCTATATGTACCCTTTACATTAGCAAGTGCCTAACCAAAGTACCCTTTACATTACTATGTCATAACTTTTGTGTTTGAAAATCCACATGCCCATATAATTGCTACAAGTTTACTAGCAAGTGTAACCAAAGTATCCCTTACATTAACAAGTGCCTAACCAAAGTTCCCAAATAGTAATACCAACATGCAGTAGTTAAGTTACAAAAAGCAATGTATAGCTTATTTATGGCCAATAGGCAATAACAAAGTCCCACATATGACGTCTATCACGGACACGTAACATTCACACAACATTCGTCAATATAGTGGTTTATGTGCGTAATCTCGGTCACATGACTCAGTTACCACAAACATCCTTATTCATAACAAGAAACGACAAATGAAAACTACCACACGACATCCTTTTAGAAAGGTGAAACTTCCGATTGCTTGAAGAACAAGCCGGACGGACCCCCATGGGCCATTAGAGCAATCTCCACCGGGCCTTTGGCAGCCTCATCCGCACTCAACAGGCCCTGATTACAAGTGATGTCCGTTCTCACGAAACCCGGGCACACGCAGTTTATGCAGAATCCCGGATATTTTCTGGCAATGAGCCTCGTGTATGCATTCATGGCTCCTTTCGAGACTTTATAGGCTGACATTTGAGTCGGCCAGTTGTCACCTTCGAGCGAGCCTTGTTTGAAGCTCGTTAGGAAATTTTTGACTACCTCGTCGATTTTCTCTTCTGTAAGATTCTCTTGATCACTCAAGGCACGTGTAGCCCACTTGCTCGACAAAAACTGAGCATATGAACGATATAATATATGTCGATGTTGAGAAAACTTTGACTAGTAAACACCTAAGCAGTTCATACTATTCTTCATGTCTTTTCATTTTTATCTTATGATTGCCATAAGTTTATTCTGATTCTTGAAAATGAGTTGGTCATAAATTTGGAAAACAATAAAATGTTGTGTGCAATAGAGCTGATTGAGTGTGTTTGTTTATCAAATATTTCAATTCATACTCAAAATCTAACTTCATTTTAACTCAACCTCATTGTCTTCATAATATAAACCAATCATTCTTACATATCACATCAACTTTAATTCACTATTCATCCACTCATATAATTGTAACTAACCATCATTTCACACCATCTCTCTCATACTTTTACATTAAATTAACTTTAATTATATTATTTTAAATATTGTTTTGATATAAACTCAGAACACCACTAACAACTACCCATATCAATTTTTTCAAAATTAACAATGGTTAAAAAAAAAGAAAAACTCGTTTTGAGCGGATATATTTGTATGCAAACGCAGTTCTCTACCTTTTCAATAGATATGCATACTGCAAACTTAAATGTCATACTCTATAAAACAACATAAAACAAAAGTATAAACAAAAGTATGACGTTTTGTAGCGCAAATATGCATTTTTCTGTTAAACGAATATGGCGGATCTATGCACCATTTACCTTCAGCATTCCAAGACCGGAGGAGACATTGACAATTCTTGGTGAATCTGATAATTGGAGGAGTGGAATAAGAGCTTCAGTTATTCTTTTTACACCATAATAGTTTGTCTGCAGACACTCTTCAGCACCCTCAATAGTCTCTATTACAGTTCCATTTGCTGTAGTCTGCACTTATTGATGGAAAATTATATTATTGTATATATATATATATGCTAATGTCAAAATAATAATCAACACAACATAATTATAAGCATTTAAAAGGTAAACAAACCTTTCCCCTATCAAAAAATGAACCTATTATTAATTCTTGAAGAATCAAAGCATCTCCTTCCACCCTTACTCCAGAAACACCAGCATTATTCACCTGCATATTAACTCAACTGTTTGAGGAAAAAAAAAAAAAAAAATCATCAAAACAAAACAAGTCTACTTAAATTAATTTGGACATCATTTTTCAACTAAACTCTTCATTTAAGTTTTTGCGGTTTTGCTATGCAGCCAACAGTTGGCTCCATAGCTCCATAGTGGAGTCAACCTTCTATATACGACAAGTAAACCTACCGTATTAATAAAATTATATTAGTGTTATTTAAGTAATTAGAGAACATGGTAGGTTTACTTGTCGTATATAAAAGATTGGCTCCACTATGGAGCCAACTGTTGGCTTCATAGCAAAACCGTATTCAAGCGGCAACATAATTCTAATAATAGACAAATACCAAAATATCAAGCCTCCCAAATTCAGATTGTATGAAGTGAGAAATAGAAATGATGGTGTTGGGGTCCATAACATCAAGTTGGTGAAAAACAACTTTATCTGAAAAATCCAAGTCCTTGAGCTTTTCTTGAGCTTCAATGCCTTTCTTCTCATCCCTAGCTGTTAATACCACCATTATTCCTCTTGGAGCTAATTGCTTGCAGATCTCAAGGCCTATTCCCTTATTTGCCCCTGTCACCACTGCATATCTGAAAAAAAAATAAAATAAAATAAAATCTTGTTATGAAAATTAAGGATGTGATTATTATATACATGTAAATATGTAATCCTTGCTTTGATGAAAACATTTTTAAAACACCTTTGTGTATTGAGAAATGCTTCTGCCATTGTTTTCTTTTCCACTTCTTTCTTTGGTTGCTTGAGTTGAGAAGTCAAGAACTCTTAAATAGGTTATCACACAATAATAAGTGTATGTATATACTATATAGATTCCATGAAGTCATTTGTGTTTTTCAATGTTTTAATTTATACTAGTAGGTAGCCCGTGCGATGCACGGAATAATATTATAATTGAATGTATTAAAGCAATGAAGCAATATTGATTAGTATAAAAGTTGTTATGAATACTAACAATTATTTAATATTTTATTGTATGATATAGGATGATATACAGAAACTGATTGATGAAAGCGAATGGATTCGCTTAAATGACAATATAATAATTTAATATATATTTTATATGTTTATTTTACTCGTTATAAAATAATTGACATTTTAGATCATGTTTATAATTATAAACATAATTAAGGATAACGAAAATTTAACATTCAAATATTATCAATAAATAATATTCAGTGGATACTTCTCTCTCTCTCTCTCTATATATATATATATATTCAGTGGATGAATCAAAAAAGTCAAAACGACATTTATTTAAAAAAGGAGGTAGTATCAAATATCACACCTACCCTACTGACCAAATTTATTTCATTTATGTGTGAAGGACTATTTAGCGTTAGTTGTAACTATATGATATGGGAAATTATACCATGAATCAGTCCAGTGGAGGAGAGGGGGATAAACCGGACCAACAGGTCCGGTCGAATGAAATACACAACTGGTCGATGAGGATCAGGGGTCAAAGCCATGCGAATTCAAGAATATCCGACAAATTTCCGCTCCATAGCATATATGGTTGAAGGTAGAAGTGGTCAATTACAAATGGTCGTGATCGACCACCCTGTACCACAGGGGCACCTAAACAGCCCGCCCAGACCTAGTCGAACATCAGGACCTCTTAGGAAATCTCCAGCACGTGCGCAGAGGACACATGGCGAACGTTAATTGGTCTATGCCAATAACGGTTTCTGACACATTTTGACATATTCTTGACACCAAGATAGTGGAGGCAGCGGATTGTACGACCAGGCAACTGGGGCAGCCAGCTCAGCTTGCCCGGCCAGCTCCTAGGGCAGGTAACTCAAGACTGACTTGAGCGTTGGAGGCTCTTCACCGGAAAATAAATCCGGTGTGATACTTTCGTGCAGGTTTGGCGTTCTACCGGCGAGGAAGGCGAGCTCGAAGTGGTTCTCAACCGGTCGAGCGTTACACTTGTATTACTATATATTTACGATGGTATCATCAGAAGTTTTCACATAAATAAAAGTTTCAATTATAATGAAAGTCATACAAAGATAATACATTATCTTCCCTTCTAGTATGACAACAATTTCTTTTATGTTTTGTCAAAAATATTCTTCTACTCTAATTTTCATACAGGCCTGCCCCAATGTAGAGTTTACATTTAAAATAAGATCATCGTACCTTTGACATGTGAGACAGACCTCTGGGCCCCACTTCTCCTTGTCCTTCAGCCACTTCATCTGCCCTCAAAATGCAGGCTCCAACCTCTGCCGTGACTTCTCCTATACTGACCAAACAAACATAAACCACACAAAGCTATAAATTTATTGTTGTCTTCATTTAAAGAAGAAGAAGGTAACCTCGTCTAGATGCAACTGTACAGAAATTCTATGGAGGCAACGGACGAATCGTGTCAATTCACTTACTCTATGACACGTTTCAATGCATCATTTGTGGATAACTGTTGATGACTCTATAACACGTGTCATCGGATGACTTCATAACAAAACTGACAATATTGTTGTGGTGATTATGATATGTATACATTCCAAAATATACGTCTCTATGGAGTCAACTGATTGCTCGTGTCAACTACATTTATTTTTATGACACGTGTCGATACATCATTTGTAAAATTGTTGATGAGCATAAAATGTGTCAATCGATGCCTCCATAGCAAAATTGAAGGATGTACTACGGTGAATATGATATGGATACGTTTCCAAAAATTATGTCATGTGAATAATCTGACACTTATCGAAAGGAGTTGCTACTGCGTACCACTCGGAGTTGCTATATTTTCTCATCTGAAGAAAGGGAAGTTGCTACTGCGTACCACTCGGCCGCTGCTTGCAGCATTTCCTCTGCAAGATGCTTTTTAAGGTATGCATTACATTTAACAGGAAAACAAAAGGCATAAAAGACAGAGTTCCATATATCCACACAGCTCCTACAATGAAAAATTTTAGCGCCTGATAGATTTAGAGCGGTATTAAAAGTAACTATTTTACGCCTTCGTAAAGGTGCTATTATCAACTTATCTGCAGTTTTAGTTCCGGTATTAGAAAAATGAGCAACAAAAAGGATTATCTGCTGCCACAGAAGAGAGAGTAGCAGCATAATGGAGACCTGACCTTCAGTAAAGGTGCATACTATATTGGGAAAATGGTATGGAGCAAAGGGTAAAAACTAAAAGAGCTGCTTAAACTACTGCATGATAACCTAAAGGAACTAACCAAATTACATTTTTCGTAATTTTACGCCTTCGTAAGAAAGAAACAAAACGGATATCGCCTGCAAAGTTAATATTGATGACTAAACTACTTTTGTCATAATTTCTATTTACTTTTCACTTTCTTTCGTTTCCAGGTATAAGGTGTTCTTGAACCCGAGCACGGCCACAGCCGAGGCACTTAGCCATGGGCAAAATCGTCATCTGCTCCAACCACCCTTCGAAAGACTTCTTCAAGCAGTTCCCCAACTGCCGGACGTACGATCATACTGGGAGCTTCGAAGTCAAGAATTTAACAAAATAACAGCCGTACCCTTTTCGGAAACGAGCATTCTGACGGTTTTACATAGTTTTCGTCCGAATGTTGATAGGGTTTTTCGTTCGAATGTTTTTTTTTTTTTTTTTTTTTTTTTTTT